TGTACCAGTGACCTCAAGGATGATGCAGACATTGAAAGGGAGCGCAGGGCCCTGGCGGTAAGGGGTAACATGTTGGCTCGCAGGTTTTCCCGTTGTGCAAACCAAGTAAAGGTTACACTTTTTAAAGCATTCTGCCAGAGCATGTACACGCGAAACCTGTGGGTCAGGTATACCAAAAGATCGCTTGAGGCCCTGCGCGTCCAATATAATAATATATTCAGGATGCTGTTGAGACTGCCTCGTTTTTGTAGCGCATCAGGGATGTTTGCGGATTATCATACAGACGGGTTTAGCGCCACAATACGTAAGAAATCTGTATCCCTTATTACCAGGGTGCGAGCCAGTCACAACAGCATTCTGAGGACCCTAGCGGACAGATACACATCGCCGCTATGGAAGTGTCTTGTGCAGAGACTGATCACGGGGCCTTATCCACCCCCATGATGGTCCGTCTCTGCACAGGGTACAAGTTTTTTGAATTTATAATTGTTTGTGTGTATGTTTATTTTCGAACCCGTTTAATATGGACTTTTAAAAATTGTCTGAAATAAAGAATTTTTATTTTTATTATTTTATTTATTGCTAGTCATCTTACAACAACACAACAATCACAGGGTCAGAGACTGAACGGTAAAACTGGCGGTTTACTTAAACACACACAATCACAAGCACACTTGCAAAAGTTGAAAATCATTTAAAAACTCATAAACTAATTTATTTTTGCTTTTAAAAAGCACTTTTACACGTCCCAGTATTAACCGTACCCCTGCTTCGGGACAATAAATGAGCCTGTGCTAAGAAGAAGCAGTGCAAGAAACTCAGTCACTATTGTTTGACATTAATCTTAACTTTTGATGTCTTACCAATATGCAGTAAGCTCACGATATTTCCTACCTCACATTTCCTCCTTGGTTTGTGCCCTATTATGTCCTGGCCAAAATACAAACTGATTTTACGTAATAACCTATATAATACGAGTCCAAAGACCACAATAAAAGGGTATTTCTCATCGCCACGGTTCTCATCGTCACCTTCGTGGAAAATTTTATTTCTAACTTATTTCAACTTTTTGTAAACAAAAATTGTAGCGCTTGATGTGAAGATTGTATTCTCAGTAAATCAGCCAAATAGTGAGTCTCGTTTGGAAGCTTTAACGTTTTGAATTTTTTGATGCCACGAAAGTGATTCGGTACTTCACAGCAATAATTTTTTCAAACTTTACTACTATAAATGATTCTTAAGTGTTTATAAAACATATATTTTGTCGTATTTTCATAGATAAATAACAATAACATAATATAAATAGGTACCTACTTAAATACAAGATAAAATTTTACCGATAACGTTACCTACTAAGTTACAAGATTCTACGCAATTGGTTTTAAGGGTGACACTGGTTGCATTCTGAAATGCTAAAGAAGCAAAAAAAGGATTATCAGTACCTCAATAATAAAGAACTCTAACTGATTATCAGTCCCTCAACAAAAACATATTTTTTATTGAGGCCACAGGGCGGCCTTGTATTTTTGTTGTACAACTTTTAACTCAAACTTCAGATTAAAATCTTACAAACAGATACACAGTCACATATACAGACATACATACAGTCATACAGACAGACAGACAGACAACAAAAATACGAGGCCCTTATTTTTTTATTGATGTACTGAACTCTACTTACCACGTATAATTTATTAGTTATTAGAATATTGTAAAAACATAAACACCAGTCACTATATTTTAAAATTAACCAAAGCAAGAAATCACTTTCGTGGCCTAAAATCACCTTCGTGTATAAAACACCACGAAGGTGATGCCACGAAGGTGACGAAACTTTTAGTTTTTTATGAATTATCCTTAAATTTGAATTTAACGGTTCAAGTCGAATACTACACAAATAAGTTTAACATGTTAAGTTTTCAATGTCCTAAGTTTAAATTAAATTGTTTAAATTTTAGAGGTAGAAAATATTGTTCAAGCAAGCGACGGTATGTCTATGGATAATCACAAAAAGTTACATATTTTTTTCGCGGAGCGACGATCGACCTATCTCACCTCCCCAATGGCCGGAGCGCGACTGACGTTAACCCAATAGAACGCTGTGATTGGTTGCTGGTGTTCGGTTTAACGGCAATCTTGTATTATTACTCAAAATTTTAGGTACCTAAAATCGTGTGACCAACGTATTTCGCTTTCTCAATTCGAAATCTTTATAAGGAGATATTTTTTTTACTATTGTGTGGGAAGTATATTTAATTACGATGATTTTAGTATATGCTACACACAAATTGAATGAAAATTGTGATTGCAGTAACCAAATGTTTCATTGCAACCGAAGGTGTGACACGATGAGAACGCGAAAAATGACCCCGTTTTTTATCGTTTCATGTGATGTTTTCGTATTATTTTTGCTTCTATTACGATAAAATTTATTTTCTATGTAGCTAAATAGATATTTTATCATCTGATTTCAAAGTTATTGTTCTAACTATATAAAATAGGTGTGATCATTAAAAAAGCAGTTTCTCATTACCAAAAGCTTGAAAGCTCCATTCATATCACTCATAAACTTTGATAGCGTGTTAGTAAACCAGTTGTTTTAACTTCGTTTCAGGCATTTAATAATGTTTTCAGGCCATGTTTGAAATTTCAGATTTCCGTTCCTATTTCATGATTTATGCTTTCAGCCGGTTTCAGTTTTCGCTGAAAGATTTTGATTTCTATTCAAACTGGGATTAAATTTAATTTTGTATCTTTTCAGACTTAGTTTTTGAGGACACTTCGAGGAAAATTACACGAAATTAATAATGTTAATCGGGATTTTTAAAGAGGACATTTTCCAATACGATAATTTTCTTTATTTTAAATTCTGAATTAAAACCGGGTTTCAAGAAATATCGTCAATCACAAAAATCATCAGAACTGAAGCTATTGTATTTGCGTTGAAATACTGAAGTTTCAAACAATATGCTTTCGACGAAAAAATCCAATCGACACCAACCGCAGAATGTAAAAGAGAAAATCAAAAATTCTCCACTTTTTCACTCTCAATAGAGCCTATTGACCGAAATTTAATTACGTGACCGGTTGAGCTTCCGGAAACGGAAGTCTTTGTTGCCACGCATCCGGTATAAACAATGGAGGCTTTGGAAATAATGTTTATTAGTGTGCTAGTTCACTTATTTACACCCTGTGAAAGAACATCGCTTATGAAATGGAGCGAGCTTTCAAAGCTTTTGTTATTGTTTTGTTTGATTTTAATGCAGTGTCATAACTATTCGCTTTTCAAATTTCATATGTTAATTAATTAGGTTTCAATTGAATGTTTCAGTAGGCTGTTAACTTTCCTAATTGAATTTGCTGTTGTGTATATTAGAATCTGACTACACGGTATGTTAAACTTAATTAGTTGTTCACTCTCATGTAAAATAATTTCGATACTTAATATCTACAAGCATCACATGTTACCTACTCGTATAAATGTACATATTAATTTGAATTTTAAGACATCATAAAAACTACCTATTATTAAAATTGTATAATTTCAATCCAGCTTCTTTATTTTGAATCCTTGAAATGTCTGCTCTTAATCAACGTTCAAAATGTGTTTTTTGTTTCATCAGCCTCAATAAATTAATATAGTAAAGTCCTATTATTATCTAGTAATTATTTTAATAGGTTTTGCCTAAAATACAGGTAAGTAGTATCATTTAAACACCTCTCAACTTAACATAAAAGCAATTAACTAAAAGTAAATGTTAATTAATATTTGCTTATCCCCAATTTACGGTCTGGCTAGCCTCGCATCAGGTAGATCTAGTGATTAAACAGGCTAAACGTTGGTTTAGTAGATTTGTAGATGNGAATTTATAATTGTTTGTGTGTATGTTTATTTTCGAACCCGTTTAATATGGACTTTTAAAAATTGTCTGAAATAAAGAATTTTTATATTTTTATTTATTTTAGAGTTCTCGTTTCCTTGAATTTTCAAAAGTGAACTTTCTTCTGGGCCACCCTGTATAACCCCGAGAGGCACTCTACCAATTTTAACAAGATCGCGGTTCGCTTTCCCACCACCAATAATGGCAATAATAAAATATCAACTCACCAGCATCAGCAGGTTATACACGACACAGTAGACAGGCAGTCCATCATGAAAGTTGTATGGTTCTTTGAAATCTGGTGAGTACACGAGCTCTTGTGCGTGCGCAGGTCAAATCCCAACTGGAATGAAAATCACACTCGTAAATAAGTTCACCCAAAACCTCACTACATTATTTTATCAAAATAAATTATATTACCTATCTGAATACTTAGTCTCTTCCTTTACCTAACTGAATAGTCCTTTCCTTTATTTAATTGCCTAAAGAAAATACACACCACAACTTACAACCAAGCTTGCGGTAACACGGCCTAATACTTACTGAATTGGTAAAATGGTAATTTAAGCCAATCAATTGACTCCCCCCACCAATATTCCTTATTTCCCATTGGGTGGCGTCGCGATTGGCTGAGCGAACGAAAGCTTTTTCTGGATTGTTGGCGGCATTAATTTTAACAGTGTGATTTTGTTCCTTCTTGTTTAATTTAGATTGTAATAATATCGTAATAATTAATTAGCATAAATTTTAATGTAAAAAGCTTGTTGATCACGCCATCACTATCATTAATCTCTATTTGAAAAAGGAACGTTTTATTTACTACCTGTTATCACAGATTATAATAATAATTATGACAGTTTGTAGTTTTTTTATCTGTCACGATGTTGTAGGCTTTTCTGAAATTAGGATTTCTCTAAAAATTCTAGTTAGATTATTATTTTAGTAAAAATATGGTTACGGGCAGCAATCGTAAAATCTTTCAAATTAAATAATTTTACGATCGACCTTACCGAACTGGAAGGGAATGTTGGGAAAACCTGTCTACGGGATTCAATGACCAATAAAAGTCAAAGAAAATTTATTAGGGCCTTAGTTTTCGGTTATTCTATAGGATAAGTAATAGCTTCATATTGTTTCTTGTGTCTCGTTAACTCCTTTTATGTTTCCCCCAGCTTGGAGTGGCCTTGGGCTTCGTACTGCCCCCGATGTTGGTGCGAGCTACTGGGACCATCGAGCAGATTGGAGCTGACTTCCAAGTGATGTTCTATCTAGTCGCTGGCGTTACTAGTGTGCTGTTCGTTTTGATTCTGCTATGTAAGTTATTGCATACTGGCTAATATTCAAATTTCAAATGCATTTATTGTACAACATATTATTACATATTTTTAAAATGCTGGTTTCTTAGAACATCTATGTTAACTCACTCATCAAAACAACACTGTTAAATTCTAATGATTAAAATAAATATTATGTTCTATATTACCTACTTTAACATTATTTTGAAACCTTTACAGTTTTCAAAGCAGCGCCACCGAGCCCGCCTTCGGCAGCTGCTGACATGGGTTCCAGTCTGGACTCCAACTTTATCCAGTCTATCAAGAAACTTATGACAAATCGAAACTACGTTCTCCTACTGATCTCTTACGGGCTCAACGTTGGTGTCTTCTATGCCATCTCCACGTTGCTCAATCAGCTCGTCTTGATGTATTATCAAGTGAGTGTTTATAATAACTTGTTTTTAGCATCAATCAATAAGTTTCCAGAATTCGAATATAAATAAATATTAATATTATATTTATTAATTTTCCAGGGCGCAAACGAAGATGCTGGTCGCATTGGTTTGGTGATGGTGGTTGCTGGTATGATAGGGTCTGTGATGTGTGGCCTTGTTTTGGACAAGACACATCGCTTCAAAGAGACCACACTGGCTGTCTACGCCGCATCTGCCGTGGGCATGGTCGTCTTTACCTTTACGCTAAATTGTGGCATCATTGGAGTTGTGTATTTGAGCAGCATCCTCCTTGGGTGAGTTTTTTAACAAAAGTACATTAAACCGAACTACAAAATAATGTTAAAATTAACTTACGAGGCAAAATTGGTATTAAACGAAGCTTTTATTCTCATGGCATGTAAATAACAACATTACGGCACAACGCTAACCACATGAGCTTTTTTCCGCAACTGATATAGCACAATGGGAAGGAATCTCATTACAAAGGACAGTATGAAATGAGGCTTATCTGGCCGCCCAGTCGCGGCATCAAATCATCAACAAAGGCATAGGGTTGGCCGCTCGTAACTGTATACGCTGTAGGAAGATAAATTCTGAGATTTGTTTAATGTATTTCTTTTATTTTTTATCATTAAATTATATTAAAGCAATGGCTCTAAACTTTTAATTCACAGATTGGGACTGTAATAATATTAAAATCCTGACTAATTATTTCCAGATTCTTCATGAACGGCTACCTGCCCGTCGGCTTTGAGTTCGCTTCTGAAGTGACGTATCCTGAACCTGAAGGAACTACATCTGGCATCCTTAATGCTGTCGTTCAGGTATAAAGATTTCTTATTTTGTTTACTGAACTGTTTTCTTTTTTTGTATTTTATTGAATAAAAAAGTATTTTCTTAAAATAAGGTGATGGCTAAATGAATAATTCGTTATTAATTTTTAAAACAAAACAACATTACAGTATTTTACTTTATAACAAGTAAGTAAAGCAGGCACGCCTGGAATTCTTTGGGCAAGCCATGTAGGTATCTAAAACGTGAAAGGCATTTTAGCATGCCTCTTTGAAACACCTTATACATTGTTCTAGGTGCCTTTGACGTGGCTTTAACAAAATTCACCCTACCTTAGCTACCCTTCTTTCAAACGACATCAGTAATCTTATCCTGTAAACAGGAACCCAATTGCTAAATTCAACATCTAGTTAACAAACGACGACATTTTTTAACTTTTCGCTCATTGATTACAGGTATTTGGCATTCTGTTGACGTTGCTGTACGAGTGGATGCTAAGCGCAGTACACGACCGCTGGGCTAACCTCACTCTATGCGCGCTGCTGGTACTTGGCACCGCCATCACCGCAGCCATCCGCCCAGACCTACGCCGCCAAGCCGCTGAAGCAAAAGCCTAAACCAACTATAGAACGTTGATGTCAGGACTTCTGATGGTCTTTAATACCTACTACATACACGTATGTTCCTTAGGTCACGTAATGACAATATCCAAAGAAGGATCTAATGGTGTTGGGTGATTGATAGATACCTACATCGAAAGAAGACGTCATTGCGACTCTTTTTCTTGACCGTAATGAACATTTATTTTAACGTTTACCTTACTTAAATTCCCAAAAATCTACAAAATCGTTATTTATATTTTAACTTATAGTGTGTCATTTTATAACTATGTATTTACGTCGCAATTAAAGTGTAGAGTATGATGTTTTACAAAGCGCCTATTAATATTATATTTCTTATAGATTTTAGTATCTAAATTTACAACAAAGTAGAAGACGTTTAGAACGTCCGTAAAAACCCTTGAAAATGAAATACCCAAGAGTAAATTTGGTAGCTAGATAATTATGTAATCGCGACAATAACGTGTGACTGTATTTTATTAGATGACTTGCCAAAAATACTGTGGTAAGATGGTTTTTCAGGAATGTAGGAACCAGAAGAGTTCGAACGTATTTTGTAGGTAGACGTTTTACTACGTAAACTGTAGGTATTTAAGATAAATTTTAAATAATTATTATAATCTCTTATTTTGATATAGGCGTTTGGTAGTAGGTATACCTACCTATTATAAAAAACAAGGAATAAATAAAAAGCTTGAGTAATACTCAGATACTTGTTTGTCATTGAAAAGCTTCATTTAGAATAGTAGATTTCTGGCTCTGTATTGGTTTTAATTTTTATTATTGATTGATCTAAAGTTAGTAGTTTTTGCCTAATTAAAAAAGCTGTTTAACTTACCTACATATAAAAACAAAAATACATTTTTTTCTTGGACAAAATCTCGACCAGTGATTTTACTTTTCTTCTCAGTTGTTATATTCTTAATTGATAGCGTGGTCGTGGTCCTGTTGTGATTTGTTGTGAGCGTGGGTGTGTGTGATTTTTGTTAATTTATTGGATTAACTTAAATTTGGTTTGATGAACCTATGAGGTCATAAAATAATGATAACTTGAGATTTAGCAGGTATTTTCATGTGATTTTTAAGTAGGCGATAGTTAGTGTAATTTAGAGTTTACTTAGAAAATAGTCTTAGGAGAACTTTGCCTTTATTTGCTTTTAAGTATATTTTTGAGCTATGAACAAGAAAATCCTATTTTAGATTCCATAGGTACTTACCTACCTATATCACCTAAATGTTCAGTAAGATTAAACTTATTTCGGTGTTATCATAATGAGTCTATAGCGAAAATATCTAAGGAAATATTGACGTCATAAATTGTCAACAATTAACTTCATGAAACCAATGAACTTTAATCATTATCCTATTTAAATTATTTAATCAAATGTAAAATTTACCTATCCCTATAATTCTGTTAATGATTATATGCACGCTGGCAGATTTCATTTCTGATAATTAGAAAACAGGCCTATATGATAATTTATGGAAGGCTGTATCTGTGTAAAAGATGTAACTCTTCTTATTTGTAATAAATAGGTAACACAAAACATAAGTTGAAAGTAGTTATAATTAATTGTGTACATAAATGCGTGTGCGTGTCTATTCAAGGCTTGTGAAAAGTTATTTCGACGTAAATTACCTTAAATTAAAAGGTAACTTATATGGTCGTCTTTACAATATTATACTATTAACTAAATTATTTGTGGCCTATATATTTTATATAAAATTTTGTAATAATATGTGACCCAACATGTGAGTAAAACAGTATTATTAAAAATGTAATAATAACAATATAATTTATTTCTGTATAATCACATTAAATAATGACTATTTCAAATAGTTGCTTGCGATGCATTTGTAGTCTTATCACTGTTCTGATAGTAGGTAAGTGAACATTAGGACAATTTTAATTTATTTAAAAATGATTGTTATTTTATAATTTCCATGTTTATGCAATAAACATGTTTGTAATAAATGATTAAAAATGACTTTGTAAAGAACAGCATTCTATTTGCGAATTATTGTTATTATTTTAGCGTTCCTGTAAATATAATAATCATCTTGGTAGATTAAGTGATTTCAGAATGTATAAGCATTCCATTATATGCCGAGACCGTAGTATTATATAAATATTAATGCCTATTACCGAATCTATCGACAATAATGAAGGAACAATGTTTTTAAAATAAGTTTTGTAGTTGGCCTACTATATCAAACTTTCCATAACTGTCTAATCACTTCTTAAATTAAAAACTAGATCCTAATAATACCTAAGTTATTTTTTTACAATAATCGTCTCAGCTTCAGATTTAAAAAGATCGAACGAATGCATGAAGCTTAATTTTGGACTAAATTATTTAAAAACAAAGTTACATTAAAATTGTAAGCAAATACGATTTTTAGGTATATTTGTATTGCTTATTATGTAAATAATTTTAAAAGTAGCTGTTAAATACACGTGTATTACTAGGAAAATAACAATAAAACACAAAATAAAAGTTTCAATTTTCTTTTTAATTGCAGTTCTTCAAGCTTTGTTACCCAGTGCTGTTTTATTTCTCTGTTTGTATGTAATTACGTCATTTCTCTCATTAAAGTAGCAATAAGAGATCGATGTAATACTAAATGTTTATTGTTCATTAAACGTTGTTGATGGATTAATGAAGTTTTTTATTTACAATCAACAAACACTATGAAAAAATATCATAAATCTATATTTTATTATTTTGTTGTAACAAATTAATATATTTTTAAGACAAAAGTTGCTTCATTTTATAGCCTGACCAGGAACATAAAAACCCTGGCATAGAGGCGCGTCAATTGCATTTGATAGTGCAACACTGAGTACAGTCGTACCTGTGTTAAATTAATAGGCTAACTTTATGTATCAGGATTCAGGATTACGGGCTAATCTGATATTTTCATAAATTAGCGAAAAAATATTATTATAGGTAACCTGGCTTAACCCTTTTCTTGGCATTGTGCATTTAAAGATACGTTGACCAAAACATAAATATGGAGGAGAAACCAAATACTTTTTTCAAATTTTTTTTAAATACAACGTTAGCCCAAGTACTACAGATTGTGTTACACAGTATAGAATCGCTACAGGCTGCACAGATTTATAGTTCCAAAATACTGGACTGTCCTGTCGATGACATTGACAGTGGGGCGCCACCGTCAATACCGGATCGCTGGTTCAGATTTTTGCCATGTTGGAAACCATATAGTTGAACGATGGTAGCGCCCCCCTGTCATTGAGTTTGGCGGGACAGTTCAGCGTGGGTCATCTATAACAGTAATATTCAAAATGTCAGACCGTTGACAGGCGTCTACGCACCGGCTGATAATTTTAATTATTTTCGGTGTTTTTTTTAAAGAATATTGGTGATTATTTCTAGTAATATGGATAGTAAATAAATGCTTCTTGATGATAGTGCTGTTTTTTCAACCCAAAACTTGTATAATTATTCCNCTGCACAGGGTACAAGTTTTTGAATTTATAATTGTTTGTGTGTATGTTTATTTTCGAACCCGTTTAATATGGACTTTTAAAAATTGTCTGAAATAAAGAATTTTTATTTTATTTTATTTATTTAGAGCTCTTTTCCATGGGTATTTGTAAACCCCATTATCCATCTGCATTTGTCACTGGTTGGTTAACTTAAAAGTCTCCATAAAGGGCCATCCCAACCCTTTTTTCATCCTAATGCATACATTTGCGAAATACCACTGAGCCGCATGAAATATTTCAACACAATAGATCCAAAACTGATTTCAGTACACCTCAGTAACCTGTCAAAGGTAGACGCCCTCTAAAGCCCGTCGTAGACAACACAAAAAGTTTGACAAGCATCGCAACGCTGAAATGAAATTTTATCAATTCAAGATTAGATTACCTTCGCTAAAATACTGGAGTAATGTCTCGATTCGTGCTGAAACGAACGTTGTCTTGTGCGGAGGGCCTAACAAGGTAGATTTAGAGCTATTTTAGGCACCTCGTCCTTTCTTATCTTGTTTGCAGATCTCCGAAGATTAAGCCTGATCCGCAGGCAGGATGAAACGCGATGTCATGAACGTGTAATTTGATGAATGAAATCTTCGTTTGTTTTTGAAGATTTTCAGTCCAACAACAAAAACCTTTTATCTTTGAATTGCTGACTGATTTTGTGTGTCTTATTATATTATTTGGAATGTTTAGATGAAATTAAAATTAAATTACACATAAAATGAGAGTTATAAGAATTTAGGAAAAACTTGCCTAGCCTTCAGTAGTCAAATGAAACGATAATAAAATTGCTTTCTAAAATGTCCCACATTGCTGATAACATTAATGTTTGAATCGATCCCGCTTATTCTGAATCGGATTATGAATTACCCGCACAATAGAATAGTTCACGCATATCGATGTCGCGGCCAGAACACCTAGACACCAGTCCCCTGTATTGTACAGTCTGCCTCATAGTTCATGTCACCCAATTCAGCCAAAAATTTCGCAGCACGTCTTTATTACAATTGGAATAAGGTTGTGCTGTCAACATTTTAGTCACTGGGGTGTCACGAATTATTGACGCTGACTGTACTGGTCTGTATAAACAGGTGCAGACCGTGTGTACGGCGAGGGGTCACGTGACAATGGTCATGGTTTCGACATAGATGCAGACTTATTAGGAAACCAGATGGATGACGGTTTCTATGATGAATTTAATCAAGTAATATTTAATTGTCATGTTTAGGAATTTGCATTCTCGGTAATAATTCCGATAAATTCAACAGCGTGGTATTAGTTTTATTAGATTGCCTTCCTAATAATTAAAAAATAAGTAAAACAGATTTTCAACAATATGTTAGCATCAGAAATTAACCCCTAGTTTTTGATCAATTAGGTAGACTTCTTTGTAGAGACTAACACAGGTTTGAGTTATTATTGTTCTTTAACTAGACCTTCATTCTGATATCCTCGTACATCACTGTTATATCTGGTGTATCTTCTTCTTTTTTTGTACCCTCTAAAACTTCTTGAAGTCAAATTGCTAAAATTGCTCAAACAATGAAGTGAAAATATCATTCATACATTTTCCAATAGCCAAATTACCATAACAAATTACTATGTCACACTAATTTGCATATAGCTACATACCACCGCATTCCTTACCTTACCTGCATTATGTAAAGAATACCGACTGCAGTAGACTAGCATAATAGGTACATGTCTATCAAAACTAATGAGGTAGTACGTAATGTAACCTCTGCGCTAAGTCGGTCACAATTCGCGAGTCCAACTGCGCGTAGACACGACCGTTTTTAAATAAAACCGAGTATTGTTAATGAAAAACTATAGATAACAAGTTAAAAGTGAAAGTGAGAGTTATAAATTGTTAAATGTGGTGGAAAATGTTCATTAGTAACTCGGAAGTTGTTTGAGGAAGATTAAAAGTGTGCAGTTAGTAGTTATGTTGAAATTAGTGATATTTTTCGGTGTTTTTGTGCTGTCTGCGCAAGCGCAGGACTGTAAAACTTATGGAAAATTGGTACATATTTGATTTTCAGTATTATGAATATACTAAGAATTTTTATTATGTAGTGAAATAGCAGTACTTAATTTACTAGTAAAAAATAGGAGAAATAAACAACTATCTACTTTTCCGTTTTTTCGGGTATTTGACCAATACTTATGGCCCATAGACTACACCGGATTCATTGAACTATGGAACGATCGATGACTAGGATCAAAATGTTATAGACTTAACAGGCATTAAGTAAATAAACAACCTTTTTCAATTATCTTTACGAGTATGTAGAGCGGAAAGTCATTGCAAAAATGTTCAGTTAATAATAAAAATTTACAACTTTTTTAATTGCTTATTGGAGTTTTACCATACCATACGGTAAAGTGAACACCCTGTATGTATAGCTCATTTAGATTCAACGTTACTGTTTAAGCGTCACGAATAACATAGTTTACCTCTGCCTTTTCCTGTTATCACAAAATGAACCCGCATTATAGTGCTAATTCTACTTGTATTGGTGAGCTAATTATTTACTCGTATAATGTTAAATAAATAATCCCTTATTTGTGTGTATTTTAGTGCGTGGACCACGAGCAGTGCTGCGGCGGATGCTGTTTTGACGGGGAATGTATTGACAGTATGTATTTTTTTCATCAAAATTCGTTCATTAAGAAACATTCATCTTTATCTATCCCCTAATTAATAATTCCGGGCACATCAGTGTGGTTGCCATGAGTTTACGTTACGTGGGCTCGCTAGCGACTGCGTAAAAAAATGACATTGAATGTATGACAGATTGTACAACGCCCTTAGCGGCTACTTTCAAGAACTAAAATCTTCATAGATTTTTTAACGTAGGTACTCGATAGCGCGCACACCCTACGTAAACTTGGTAAGCACACAGCTCTTCTCTCACTCGCTTGCATAGATTGTGTCATTTGTGGTAGCAATTAATTACAACCATAGTGATTTTTTTTTGTATTAAATTCTCGTCTTGTAGTGTACTAATTAGAAGTATCTTTTATGAGATGTGAACATTGATTGTACCCATGAGGAATGTGAACATTAAAATCTAAATAAATTTTGGTATGAAATAGTTTTGAAATATGAAGGTATGAAATATGAAAAATTTGGTATGTTTTGTTTATACATACTAGAGGGAACAAGTTTGAGATTCATCTCTGGACTTCCTTGGCTCCAAAAAAAGTCAAAATTATTTCTTGATGATTCTATAAGTTTGGAACCTACTCCCTTTGTAATAAAAACCATTTCAGCTTACAGATCCTGTCTATCCCCGTACAACGTCTGCCACGAACACTACTGTCGTGGAGACGAGACGTGCGTAGCGTACACCCCGCCCGAGTGCCCCGGCTGTGAATCCATACCTTTATGCAAGATTTTATAGTGAAACTTCAGTGATAGTGGTTACCAATATGGACGGAAAAATGCAAAGGAGGTGAAAACATCAACGACCTACTAGATTAAGAAATGAAAATATTTATTAAAATAAATTCTTAAATGCAGTCAAAATAAAGAATGTTTGTTTAGTGATAGGTAAGTAACAGCGGTATTGCAGCGCTTCTAAAGATTAACTTGTAATTGTAATAATTAAAAAAATAGTTAAAATGTTATAAGGAGAACGAAGATTTGTACGACGCTACGTTTGCCTCGTCTTGAAACTATGTACGAACAGTGCACCTGTCGTAAAATGTAAACATTCGTATTTTAGTCGCTTGATGTGACGTTGACAAACTATGAAATAAAGTACTATTAAGTATTAAATTAATTTGTTAATTTTAATTACTGTTATTAATGATTTGATTAAGTAGGAACAACTTTAAAGTATAACCTTCAACTTGTATTTTAATTATAATACCTGTGTAAATGTTGCCCGAAACTAAATTAGGATCACTTTAGTGGGAATCCACAAACAGAAATTTAATTGGAAATCCTATATCCTTCACAAATCCATTCTCATTTGCAGCAACCAACAGCACTATTCAGTAATCTGTGCCTATGGCTTTAATCTAAATAATATTTGATACTAGCTGTGCTCCACGGTAAAACGTAGCCTATTAATATCGTC